AGAGGATGGATTTGAATTAGTGAGCTAGAAGTGAAAAGCTCCATATCTCATCATCAACCCAGTGAGCCATCCAGTGTCAACTGCTTAGGTATTTAATCAAAGTCTGATCATATCTGTCATTACTTGTACTCATTTTATGAAGACATAACGAAAATTGCATGCCATAACTGCAAACCGTAGAGACACTGACATAAAACATAGATATCTAAAAATCTCATTATTGACATCTAAATTTTCAAGCCAAACCTGAAAAGTTTTCAAGAAAAAAGTTCAGCATGACAGTGAGACAAATTTGATTGCAATGGGTTATAATTTTAATCCTTAAATTGATTATTTAATTGTTACAGTCGATGACAGCACTGATCAGTTTGAAGAAAGTGTTGATGAGAAAATCAGCACAACTATTGGCAGAAAAATTTAACACCATCAAGAATATTCTACACTTTCCTTTCAACTGAGAGAAAGTGGTATAGGGAGAGCTGAACATCTCAGGCCTTGTTGTTGATATTTCTTAAGCCATGACTTGTGGGGGGGAATATATTTATATAGTTTTGTTTACCTCAGTAGCAGCATTTATAATATTTTCTGTTTTTATCCTTTCATTCCAAAGGATCCTAAACCACTTTAATAACATACATACTCAACACTGAAGCCCAACCACCTCTGGCATGGCAGATGGCAGCTATTTAAGGACTTGTGTATACTAGGAAATTTAATCATGCTTTAAATATGAGTTTTAAGCATTGAGTTAGCTGGTGCAAAACTGAACATGATTTGGCTTTGTCTACACTGACCACAAAATCAGGAAATAATTAGGGTGTGTGATCACTGCCTAATCAGAGTGTCATGGCCTGCGACTAGAGATGACTTGGCCGCGTCTGGTTGGTCACACTCCACCTCGGCCAGTGTCCATGCATTGGGTGTGTGAGTGCTGCTTAATTAGAGTCCCAGACACCTTGTCTACCTGGGAGCTCTTCTGATCTTCCAGCTGTTCAACCAACCCATTCATCCCACAAGCATTCCAGGAGGGAGTGGGAGGGAGAAAGCCACTTCACAGGTATTCAGAGAGGGAGAGGAGACAAAAGAGGGGGAGAGTGTAACAGACCTTTTGAGCATACAGGCTATACATAGCATACAGATCACTGGTGCTCCTACAACATCCATCACAGAGGAAGAAACAAAGCAGCCCTTCCCAGAGACCTTTGGCAGAGGATTGCAAAGTACCTCCATGAAAGTTTCCTTGAGATCTCTATGGAGGATTCACGGAACATTCCAGTGCACATAAACTAACTGCTCTGCGTGGCTCCCTCTGCCTAACTCTAGAGGGGAATGAAAAGCAGATCGCAACTCCACCTCTCTTGGTTGTTTCACTACCTCTTCTACCACAAGTAAAAAAGAGCAAATCAACTGATGTGTTCGGCTGCTTCGGGGCTTCCATCCCTGTAATTTCAAAGCAAACTGCATACTTACCAGAGGTTCCTTTCCCTGCATCAGGCTCACCCATGCTCAACTGTTGGGCCTGGCTGAACTGCAGTGGGGTCAAAAACATGTCCTGGCTCATTGCGCAGCTGGATTTCCTGGTCATGTGTCTCCCATGCTCCTCCTCCTCTTCCACCTCCTTCTCATCGCTGTTCACAGCGGGGGTCTGAGACTCGGGCTCTTCCAAAGTATCCATGGCACTTTGCAGTGGTGGTGCGGTCTCCACCAAGGATGGCATGCAGCTCTTTGTAAAAGCAGCAAGTTCGTGGCTCCTCACCAGATCAATTGTTGGCCTCCATGGCCTTCTGGTACATCTGCCACAGCTCCTTGGCTTTCACAGGGCCCTGCTGCTGGTCCCTGTTGTAGCCCTTCTCCTGCATCCCCCAAGCAATCTGCTCATAGATGTCCACGATTATATGGCTGAATCAGAGCTGTGCCTGCACAGCCTCTTCTCCCCACAGGCATAGGAGATCCGATATGTCTTGCCTACTCCAGGCAGCAGCACATCTGGAGCACGTAGCCGACATGGTCAGCTGGGCGGTTGCACTGAACAGTGGAGAGAGCTGCTAGGTGCGCTTGCCAAGCTGGGCAACCAGGAAAAGGAATTCCAAAAATGCACGGAGTTGTAACAAGGAGGGGCAGCTTCCTGTGTACCTGACCCCTGCGCAGCGGAGTTCACAACAATACCAGAGCAGTCAGTTTGGGACATTATAGGACAGCTTCTGCAGGCCAGTAATAGTCAACATATGTAACACAGGGTCTACCCTGACGCTACGTCGACCTAATTACATCAACCCTGACTCTACACACTCAAGGAGGTGGTGTTGTTAAGTCGGTGCAGCAGGGCACTTACATCGGTGTGAGTGAAATTTAAGTGTAGAAACATTCACAGCTAAGTTGACGTAAGCTGCCTTGCGTTGACCTAACCATGTAGCATAGACCAGGCCTTAGTCTCTCTGTGGCTCGATTCCCCATCTGCAAAATGGGGATAATACTGTCCAGCTAACACGGGTATTGGGGAGAAAAATATGCCAGAGACTGTGGGGCACTCAGCTACTCAGTAATGGGGGCCGTATAAGTACCGAAGATAGCTCTGTCTTAGGCCTTATCGCTACTAGGAACAGAACCAAACTAGTTAGAACTGTAGCTCTCTCCATCCTGATCCCAGTGTCAGCAGAGCCATAGTGTGCCAGTCTAGAAGAGGGTGTCAGCACATTCTGACAAAGAGCAGCGCACAGCAAGGTGTGATTGGCATTGCTTTGAATATACTAAACCTGACACATTAGACAAGCCCAAGGGCATGGCTCTGAGTGGAGCTACGGGAGGGCTGTTCGCTTTTCTGTCCATCTACAAAATGTTCCTAATACAACACGCTTCAAGCCAGAGGCCAGACTAATTTGTGACTTGTTGGAATCACAGTATCGGATGGCGCTGCTTGCATCAAACTCCTATATTACATTCACAGAGATGACAACACAGGGAAATATCTGAAATAATAATTTCCATGTTTTTGTTGCTCCCTAGAGCACAAATAAACAAGATGAATAAATGTAAATAAACCTGAAAGCCAAGTGGCCAAGAGAACTCCATTCAATAGAGAGAAATTCCGATGGGAAGAGACTGTTGGACCAACACAAGGAAGCACTGACAGTCTGAGCTAGAGAAAGGTGATAAGGTATCCCTTCATTATTAATGGGCAAAGAGGCTTCTAAGCCATTGTCATACTTGTTCTAATCATGTTGCACCATGGCAGTTTATTCTTAGCCTTAGCCACATCCTTATAAATAATGAAATGGGCCATGTTTTATCTTACCCCAATGATTACTGTAATGTGGCTTTTATCTGCATCCCTGCCAGGCTGTTGACACGGGCAACATTTAGAAGCAGATAAAATGAATGAATTGCACCATATAAAAATAGGGTCAGCTCTTCCAAAAAAAAAAAAAACGTGCTTATTGATAGTCAACTAATAGCTGCCTTGTTAGGAACTGTATGTGCTGGCTTTCTGGTGGGCTGACTTCCTGTGCTGTACATTACACTATAGGAGAGAAGAGATACTGGAGACTGGACACAGGCTAACTGAGGACAGGCTGCATGGCACATCCATGCTATGTTAATTCTGGAAAGTGTCTTACCCGCAGATGGTACAGCAGAGCACCAGACATTGTGGAAATGATTGCATGCAGTGTAGTTGTAGCTATGTGGTCCCAGGATATCAGAGAGACAAGGTGGGTGAGGTAATATCTTATACTGGACCAACTTCTTTGGTGAGAGAAACAAGCTTTCGAGCCACACACAGCTCTTCTTCAAGTCTAGGAAAGGTAGTCTGAGCATCACAGCTAAATGCAAGATGGTAACAGGCCGCTCTACCTTGAATGGCCCCTTAGAATATGTCCTAACTACTTATGCTAAATAATCTGTTCCAACTTGCGTTTACTGTGACTCTGAGTACCTTTCCCAGACCTGAAGAAGAGCTGTGTGTGGCTCAAAAGCTTTCTCTCACCAGCAGAAGTTAGTCCAATAACAGATATTACCTCACCTACCTTGTCTCTCTAATTGTGGAAATGATACAGTTTGGCCAGTAATTTGGGGGAGGAGGAGTTAACTGTGTATAAGGATAACAAGGTAATAAGGCACTCAGATGGGAATAGTGTGAGAACTTAGATTATAGAATGGAATACATATTTAATGCATTTCATCTGAAGGCCTCAAATGGCTTTACAAACAATTTAATTGAGCCTCACAGCAGCCCTGTGAGATGGATTAGTACTAGTCTCGCTTTAAAGATGGGGAAACTGAGGCACGGGAAATTAATGACTTGCCCAAAGCCGTAAAGTGAGTTAGTGGCAAAGCTAGGAATAATGTCCAGGAGTCCAGGCACCCAGCCCCTCTAATCTAATCCCACTTCTTTCCTCAGCCCACACTTCCTGGAAGGAGAGAGCTAGCTTCTGTACTGGAGACATCTGTGTATAGAACAATCTTTAAAAATTGGAGAAATAAGTCAGTTTATCATAACATTCCTGAAAACAAATCATAAAATGTCATACACATTCCTAGGGCCTGTCCAAATGAGTCTCTTCCAAAGGAGCTATGGACCGTAATAGCATAATTCATTTTTATATTGACTGAAATAGCCAGGTCTCCATGTGCATGGACAGCAGTGTTGACGTGGGGCTTCTGTATCTTACAGTTTTCTTTTTCACAACTTTTCATGTTTATAAGGTTCCATCTGCTTAGCGTTAGTTAATGGCCCATCTCGTGTGTGACTCCTGGAGATCTACTGAAGCAACCAGAGCGAGGTGCGTAACCAACAGCAAAGGGCTGAATACAGCACGTGTCAATGTAGCATACGTTGCTGGTCTCTTTATCCTCCTTGTTAAATGTATTTTCCTTTCAGGTCTGATGGTTCAGTTCCCTTAGAGCTCTTTTTATCACCACACCTTACTTGAGCTCTTATGCAGTCTACAGGTTTACAAATTGATGCAAACCCTCACTCAACAGACTTTTGTTTCTTATTGCAGAAATTCCCAGAACTGAAGTTTAAGTATGTGGAGGAGGAGCAGCCTGAGGAGTTCTTCATCCCCTATGTCTGGTCCCTGGTGTACAATTCTGCTGTGGCCCTGTACTGGAACCCACAGGACATCCAGCTTTTTACGATGGACTCTGGCTGAGGGAGAGGCAGCTAAACAGCAGAGCCAGCTCTGCTCTGTCTTATCACAGGCGAAGAAACTCGAAACTGCGTGTGAATATGTGACCCCTCCCAGCGTGCGTCCTCTAAACCTGAAGCTTAGTGAGAATGACGCTTGCTACTATTGTACAGAGCGACTTTGACATTTTGGTCCCAGACTGCAGCAGACACACTGGAAGCAGATTGTGGTGTGGGAGAGAAACTGACACGCTTGGTTGCAATTTATTTCTATTTCGTAAAACCTAGAGCTTATCCAATGAAAATGAGGCCTTAGACGTGCAGTGTGATGTTACCACCACCAAGAAAACTGATAGCTTTTAAAACTAAAACGGGGAAAAGAGAAAATAGAGGGTGTAAGTTGATTTGGAAGTGGCATTTATATTTTTATTACCTTTGACTTCTTTGAGTCCAAGTCTTTGAACACTATCATTTTCTACAATGGACTGTTCATCTCACCAGTACCATATCTCCTCTCATGGCCATTTATTTTGGTGACGTTGTAATGTCTACAATCTCTAAAATATCCATATTAATGCCATCTGAGTGAGCTAGGCTGCATTTTAATCAAATGATGTTTCCAGACAGAGAAGATACTGTGGAGTGGGGGGGAGGGGGAAGGGTTTTCAACTGGAAGACTTTTCTTTTGAAGAGCTATCAAAACACTTTTGATGGTTAATACTCTTTATGGGGCTTGAATCACTAGCTTCCAAAGGAAAGTCCCTCACAGACTCACATTATGGTACTTCTGTACAAAAGCTTTTCCTGGAAATTGACCACATAAACAAATCTCCAGAGCAAAGTGTTTAAGTTTGTAAAAGTAGAGCTATGCCACATAAAAAGTTTGTGCGCTTTCAGCAGTGTCTGATGGGAATCCCTGATGAAGCTTTATGTTAAAAATCCCCTTTTTGCTGCTAAAGGGATTATAGCAGAGGTGTGGATTTAACACAGTGTGGAATGCTTCAAAATGAATGTTTTAAAGTATTCTTTCCTGGTGTACCTAGCGTAATGGAAATAATTAAAATACTCTCTCTGCAGGTAGAAAACCAAAGGAAATAGGTTGACATTATTTTAACAGAATGTCTTTTTCCCCCCCCTGCATATCAAGGATCTGTTTGTCTCTGGGACAAGCTCCTGACAGTGTTCACTTCCACATGCTCACAGAAACTCCTGCTACACCTTGGGCTGTTTTGTGGAAGTCTCTGTCACTAAATCAAGTGTACTGCATGCCAACATATAAAGATAAGAGAGTTCATTCTTACACATATATGGCAAATCCCGCAATTCACTGCCTGACCCAGCATGTTCTGTTTACAGACTCAGAGGATAGTGCACATTCGCTTTCCTCTGAGTGGCTTTAAACAGAGTTTCCTGTGCTCGTTTCTCTTTTGCTGAAGATGCTGGCGTTGTCTTTATTTTTTTTTTTTTTTTTTTACCTGCTTGTTTGGAAGCAATGTCCTTGTGGACAAATGGAACTGCTGGGTTTTCAAAAAACTCCTTTCCCTATTTAATTAAAACTGTAAGTACAAAGAGCCGTGCATAGCATAGGCATTCCTAGCGCTTTCGAGTAGCGGTAGTTTTGGGAAGAGGCAACATGAAGACAGGAGCTGCGACTCTTTTGAGTGTAAAATATGGGAAACAATTGAACTGTAACTGAAGATAGGGGTATGTTTGTGCTACATTTTGGGGTGGTTTGGTTTTTTACCTCTCTGAACAAAAGTCAAAGGGGAATGAAGGCTTTTGTGTTTGTTGTAGTGATTTGTAATTTTACCTTTAAATAAAGGACTAGAGTGTTTGTGAGCCAGGAGAGGTGCACTGCCCTTAGAATGGTCATTCTAACAGTGCACTTTGAAACTGTGGATTCTGAGACTAACTGGATGGTTCAGTTCTTCAAGTGACTTAACCACACTGAGAGTCTGGTCTTGCCAAGTAAAGCGCATCCTCCACCCCCACTGATTTCAGGGTAGCTGGGGACATCCAGGACCTCCCGGTTAGTGGCTGGTGTGTCAACTTTGAGAGAATCTGATTTTCTTTAAAAGAACTTTGTATAAGCACAGGGGTGCATAAAGCAGCAATCGGATATAGGTCAAACAAGACACTGAGTCGATGAAGGAGTCATGTAATAATTTCAGTTTGTCCTCCTAATGACATTGCACTAACGTAAACGAGAAGCGTGCTGGTTCCAATGCAATACTTTTCTTGTGCAGTTAATTAAAATGCAATGTGTATGGAGCCAGCAGGTTTGTAACAGCGGGAGCCAGAATCCAAAGTTGAAACAGTAGAGCAAGCCAAGTTTATACTGAAATCCGTCCTGGTATGATTGATTCTTTCAAGTTTCCGAGCATTATACAGGTATAGAAATGTCTTGGAGTCTGCAGTCTGGTGCGTTCACAAATCCTCTATTTTCCTTCAGATCTGTAAAGTACCACCTGAGGGATCCTTTTCATTATTTTTGTGTGAAAGATTTATTATGTAGTAATAAAAAAACTAAACACAGACTGTTGTTCTATTTGTTTTGCATAGTAATTACTTACTGCACATAACACTTGGCCCCAGAGGGTTTGGATTTTCTTTTTAGACTTAACATGCATGCGGTTTTATAACGTTATCAGTGGTTTCCAATACAGAGAACTAGAGTTAATGTTACTAAATAGGAGATCATTTAAATCCTGCATTTAATATGAGGAATTAAATTGCGGTTATTCTTTCCTATTGCTCCTGGACACACAATTTCAATAGATGACCTCTCCCCTCCTTGCTGTCATCTTACCAGAATCTCAAGCCATATCTACACTACAGAGTTAAGTTGACTTAAGTTTTGTCAACAATCATAAGTTGCATTAATAACATCGGTGGAGCATGTCCACACAACACTCCTTGTGTCGGCTGAGCACGTCCACAGTCATTGCTCTTGCATCGACAGAGAGTGTTGCATTGTGGGTAGCTATCTCACTGTGCGACCGGTCACCCTTTGCCGCTGGGAGTTCTGGGAACGGTGGGGTCGCCACCAAGGATGGCGTGCTGCTCCTTATAGAAGTGGCATGTCTTCGGTGCTGCATCAGAGTGACAGTTGGCCTCCGTTGCCTTCTGGTACGCCTGCCTCAGCTCCTTGACTTTAGCATGACACTGCTGCATGTCCCTTTCATGCCCATTCTCCTGCATGCCACTAGCAATCAGCCCATAGGTAGGGAAAGTCCTACGGCTGGTGTGAAGCTGCGACTGGCCAAATCACTGCACAGCATCCTCTCCCCATATAGCTATGCTGTTGCTGGACAGGTACTTTTCATATACTGTATCAGGTTTATATGGTTTTATTGCAAATGAATTCTTTCAAGTATCCATGCTTAAAAGTGGAAGGCACTGTAACCACCCACGCACTGTACATTCACTTGTAAGCACTCAGCTAAATGAAAATGTCATTATCAGTGAATCGCTCCAAGTCACAAATCAAATACACTCCAGAATAGCCAAGCTGGGACAATTTGAATGAAAGATTTAAAGAGAGAGAGATTTTAAATGCTGCTGAAACACTGCATTAATCCTTCATCATCACTTTAAAAACTGCCTTAAAATTAATCCAGAATGAACAAGACTTGGCAAGGCTGATGAAATGTTCAGCTGTACATGAAGTTTTCACCGAACGGCTTGGCAAACTCAATGGCAGACTTCAATCTTTCTTAAGTTAATATTTGTGCTGTTGAAAGGTGCCAGGTTTGACAGCACTGGGGAAAATGGGAGCCCTCTATTTCAGTGGTTTTCAAACTTTTTTTCTGGTGACCCAGTTGAAGAAAATTGTTGATGCCTGCGCCCCAACGGAGCTGGGGATGAGGGGTTTCGGAGGGGCTCAGGCCTGGGGAAGAGGGCTGAGGTGCGGGAGTGAGGGCTGCAGGGTGAGGCCAGGAATGTGAGGGGTTCAGGCTGGGGCAGGAGGTTGGGGTGTGGGAAGAGATCAGGGCTCTGGGCTTGGGGTGCAGGCTCTGGGGTGGGGCCAGGGGTTTGGGGTGAAGGGGGCTCTGGGTTTAGGGGGGCTCAGGGTTGGGGCAGGAGGTTGGGATGTGGGAGGGGGTCAAGGCTCTGGGGTGGAGCCAGGGATGAGGGGCTTGGGGTGCAGGAGGGGATCCAGGTTGGGGGGGCTCTGGGCTGGGGCAGGGGGTTGTGGTGCAGGAGGGGGTCAGGACTCTGGGCTGGGGGTGCAGGCTCTGGAGTGGGGCCGGAGATGAGGGGTTTGGTGGTGCAGGAGGGGCTCCAGGTTTGAGGGGGGGCTCAGAGCTGGGGCAGGGAATCGGGGTATGGGGTTGGGTCCCGCCTGTCCTGGCACCATGGACTGCGCTGCGCCCCGGAAGCGGCCAGCAGCAGGTCCGGCTCTTAGGCGGAAGCATGCAAGCAGCTCCGCGCGGCTCTCACCCGCAGGCACATGTGTATGACACCTTATGATTTGTTTTCAGGAATGTTATGATAAACTCCAATTGGATATTTCTCCAATTTTTAAAGATTGTTCTATACACAGATGTCTCCAGTACAGAAGGAACCGGCCAATGGGAATGCGGAGCCGGTGCTCGGGGTGGGGGCAGCACGCGGAGCCCTGTGGCGCCCCTACCCCCCCGGAGCCGGACCTGCTGCTGGCCACTTTCGGGGCGCAGCACAGTGTCAGAACAGGTAAGAACTAGCCTGCCTTAGCCGGGCAGCACTGCTGATGGAACTTTTAACGGCCCAGTCGGCGGTGCTGACCAGAGCTGCCGCGACCCACTGCCTTACATCTGGGTCATGACCCACAGTTTGAAAACCGCTGTTCTGTTTAGTCAGAGAGCAGCTTCAGACTGGGCAACAGCAGAACAAGCTGGACTACGTGCATAGAATAGTCAAGTGTGATTGTCTAACCCCCTCCAGGACTCCATGAAATGCTCGTGGTCCCCACTGCTAGGCCACAGCTCCACCCTAGAAAGATCTCCACTAGTAATGAGAGGATAGTTCAATCTCCTGTCCATGCCCAGTAATTTCTTGGCTTATTTAATGCTACTTGCCAGCAAGGCTGCTACTGATCTATGAGGAGGATGCTGATCCGCTTTCACCTGGACCAAGACCACAACTTGTGGTACCAAAGAGTAGTCAGACAATTTTTTCATTCACTACCAACCTGATCTGGATTCAAACTGTGACCTAAGAATAGCAAATGATCTTACCAGTTAGTGCTTTTCATCCCAAAGTGTTTTACCAAGCAGTGTACAAACGGTGGGGTCGCTTCATCCTGGACTGAACATCAGAACAGTGAAGAGTGCCATGGAACCTTCAAGCAGCACAAGGGGGCAGGACCTTACTTTTATATTCATCTGAAAGCTCCGATCTCCTCCCCAGCTTTTACATTACATACATATGAAGGCTTTAATTTTAAAAATCAGTCACCTAAGAGCTGACTGTGGAAGTGGCACTTGAACATTTATATACTTAAGAGACTCAATACCAGGGGCTGTTCACACATTCTTCAGTACTGTAATAGTCTAGGCCACTTAGCATGCTAGGTGCTCTACATCGCTGTATTAAACATGCCCATTCATTATTTTTGCAAAACTTGTAAACACCTTGGCAGCAGGAGTCTAATTTGTATTC